ATCTGCTGTACTATTCACATTCAAGACCTTGACTCTCATACTGCACAATCAGGTAACAACACGTTGATGGTCAGACTTCACTTTAATGATCTGCTGTACTATTCACATTCAAGACCTTGACTCTCATACTGCACAATCAGGTAACAACACGTTGATGGTCAGACTTCACTTTAATGATCTGATATACTATTCACATTCAAGACCTTGACTCTCATACTGCACAATCAGGTAACAACACGTTGATGGTCAGACTTCACTTTAATGATCTGCTGTACTATTCACATTCAAGACATTGACTCTCATACTGCACAATCAGGTAACAACACGTTGATGATCAGACTTCACTTTAATGATCTGCTGTACTATTCACATTCAAGACCTTGACTCTCATACTGCACAATCAGGTAACAACACGTTGATGGTCAGACTTCACTTTAATGATCTGCTGTACTATTCACATTCATAGACCTTGACTCTCATACTGCACAATCAGGTAACAACACGTTGATGGTCAGACTTCACTTTAATGATCTGCTATACAATTCACATTCATAGACCTTGACTCTCATACTGCACAATCAGGTAACAACACGTTGATGGTCAGACTTCACTTTAATGATCTGCTGTACAATTCACATTCAAGACCTTGACTCTCATACTGCACAATCAGGTAACAACACGTTGATGGTCAGACTTCACTTTAATGATCTGCTGTACTATTCACATTCAAGACCTTGACTCTCATACTGCACAATCAGGTAACAACACGTTGATGATCAGACTTCACTTTAATGATCTGCTGTACTATTCACATTCAAGACCTTGACTCTCATACTGCACAATCAGGTAACAACACGTTGATGGTCAGACTTCACTTTAATGATCTGCTGTACTATTCACATTCAAGACCTTGACTCTCATACCGCACAATCAGGTAACAACACGTTGATGGTCAGACTTCACTTTAATGATCTGCTGTACTATTCACATTCAAGACCTTGACTCTGCTCTGACTGTCGCATTTGTCTCTCTATCTGGTTACCATCTTCTCACGTCTTTCCTCGACTACACTCCTGTCCGGCTTCGCTCTCGGCCGTTCGCCTTCAACCGCTACATCTCAGCTCGGCTCTGAATCTCGAGTGTCCCCAACCCGCTGGCTTATATCCAGACCTCATCATACGAGAAACTACCCACCACTAGAATCCCACGGTTATTGGCTTGCTACGTTAATAGAGACTACAACCAGATCCATTACTCCGGACGCCTATTCAATGTCTCTACCTAGGGTCTGCATGGACATTCCTCAATTGACAGCAGACTACAAAAAGGCATTACTCTAACTTATTCGTGAGTGTACGTGGCTTGGTTCCCAGGCCCCTGCTCTAACATAGCCCATCTATAAATGCCAAGGTTGACCCCCCTAGGACTGCATGGACCTTCCTCAATTGACAGCAGACTACAAAAAGGCTTTACTCTAACGTATTCGAGATACCCACTGTCTCTTAGCGATGTACCCCTTTGTCGGCTTGGTTACCGGGCTATGCCTTACCCATCTATTAATGCCGAAGTCAACGCTTGCCTCCCTATTGTCATGTTGACCGCTACCTGCACCCAGGCTGGTCAGCCCTCGCCATCACAATGTGGGTTCTTCCTCCACCCGTGCACCACCCAGGACGAACTCTCTACACTCTACAATATTCCAATCACTGAATTCCAGTGTTATGTTGATATTTCAGTCACTGACACTCCGGCGTCTTGTTGATATTCCGGTCACTGACAATCCGGTGTGTTCAGTTAAAACACCCCACGTGTGAGTGGAAGCAGAAAAGAAGAAAAACATTCTCTCAAGGGTACCAACATTTGTTTGTAAACGTGATGGATTGATAGCCAATAAAATGTCCACCACACAAGTTAAGTGAATCCTCCACAAGTTAAGTGAATCCTCCACAAGTTAAGCGAATCCTCAACAAGTTAAGTGAATCCTCCACAAGTTAAGTGAATCCTCCACAAGTTAAGCGAATCCTCAACAAGTTAAGTGAATCCTCCACAAGTTAAGTGAATCCTCCACAAGTTAAGTGAATCCTCCACAAGTTAAGTGAATCCTCCACAAGTTAAGCGTATCCTCCACAAGTTAAGTGAATCTTCCACAAGTTAAGTGAATCCTCCACAAGTTAAGTGAATCCTCCACAAGTTAAGCGAATCCTCCACAAGTTAAGTGAATCCTCCGCAAGTTAAGTGAATCCTCCACAAGTTAAGTGAATCCTCCGCAAGTTAAGTGAATCCTCCACAAGTTAATTTGAATCCTCCACAAGTTAAATGAATCCTCCACAAGTTAAATGAATCCTCCACAAGTTAAGCGAATCCTCAACAAGTTAAGTGAATCCTCCACAAGTTAAGTGAATCCTCCACAAGTTAAGCGAATCCTCAACAAGTTAAGTGAATCCTCAACAAGTTAAGTGAATCCTCCACAAGTTAAGCGAATCCTCAACAAGTTAAGTGAATCCTCCACAAGTTAAGCGAATCCTCAACAAGTTAAGTGAATCCTCCACAAGTTAAATGAATGCTCCACAAGTTAAATGAATCCTCCGCAAGTTAAGTGAATCCTCCACAAGTTAAGTGAATCCTCCGCAAGTTAAGTGAATCCACCACAAGTTAATTTGAATCCTCCACAAGTTAAATGAATCCTCCACAAGTTAAATGAATCCTCCACAAGTTAAGCGAATCCTCAACAAGTTAAGTGAATCCTCCACAAGTTAAGTGAATCCTCCACAAGTTAAGCGAATCCTCAACAAGTTAAGTGAATCCTCAACAAGTTAAGTGAATCCTCCACAAGTTAAGCGAATCCTCAACAAGTTAAGTGAATCCTCCACAAGTTAAGCGAATCCTCAACAAGTTAAGTGAATCCTCCACAAGTTAAGCGAATCCTCCACAAGTTAAGTGAATCCTCCGCAAGTTAAGTGAATCCTCCACAAGTTAAATGAATCCTCCACAAGTTAAATGAATCCTCCACAAGTTAAATGAATCCTCCACAAGTTAAGTGAATCCTCCACAAGTTAAGTGAATCCTCCGCAAGTTAAGTGAATCCTCCACAAGTTAAATGAATCCTCCACAAGTTAAATGAATCCTCCACAAGTTAAGTGAATCCTCCACAAGTTAAGTGAATCCTCCACAAGTTAAATGAATCCTTCACAAGTTAAGTGAATCCTCCAAAAGTTAAGTGAATCCTCCACAAGTTAAATGAATCCTCCACAAGTTAAGTGAATCCTCCACAAGTTAAGTGAATCCTCCACAAGTTAAATGAATCCTCCGCAAGTTAAGTGAATCCTCCACAAGTTAAGTGAATCCTCCACAAGTTAAATGAATGCTCCACAAGTTAAATGAATCCTCCACAACTTTCCCATTGTGGATTTTCAAATATATGATCACATCAGACATCTGATCAGTGTGTGATATATTAGGTTTACTGTCGAACATAATTTAAAAAAACAACAAAAAAAACCCCCGCAGCCTTTCTATCCACGATAAGAATCTCCTTCCCATGATGATTTGCAAGGGCATTTAGACATTTATTTTGGGATTCTGGTGAGAGGTAAGATGCGGATGCTTTTTCTGTACATTGACTCCTCTTAAGTCTCGTCAGATGCTCTTTTAGCACTGGGTCATATTTAGATTAGCATCTCACAGGGACGGCGCTAGGAGGGTGCGGGTCCTTGGGAAAATTGAACTTTGCGGGGCCGTTGAGGTTATATATATTCCGTCGATAGGATATTAAGACACGCCATAGTCTAAATACAGTATAAAATTCCCTGATAATCCCCTTTCGCCTACTTAACATGCGCCCAGAGGTCTTCCCAAGATTCATCTCGAAGGGATAGTATGGGAGCCAGACTGACCTTCAGACCATTGGACTATCTATTAACTCCGAATATTGTGTTGACTGGATTAGGAACTATTAGTAGGCTTAGGTATATTATAAATATACTAAGGCAACGCGCGGGGCCCCGCAAACACGGGGACTTGGGCGGTCGCCCACTTCACTATCCCCTAGCGCCGGCCCTGCATCTCAACCATTTCAAGAAAGTTTCCTCTATTCAATGAAGATTGATTTTCGTTGTGGCCCATTTGCTTTTCAATAAACAATGTGATATCCAGCAACCTGTGCAGGATATCCCTCCACATTTTCTTCTCCCTGCCCATCACAGCAATACTTTCGGCATCAATTGTTTTCTGTAGCCTAAGTCCTGCTGCCAATGTTTACATAGGTGCTCTACCGATGCCTCATG